GTTCAAAAATTACTAAATTTATGTTTTTTTTTTTTTTTTTTTTTTTTTGAAGAGAAGGGTGGTGTTTGGTTTGTTTATTTGTTTTTATGAAGTTGGTTGGGAGGACTTCTTACTTTGTCTATGAGGTTTGTGGGTTTTGCTTATTTGGCTTATTTTTTTATATCAGTTTCATGCCCTGAGGGTGAGGCAAACATTACACCGTACAGTAAAAAACAAAGTACCTTGGATGATGTATTTTTTTGCAAACAGTGTTAAGAGTTATGCTAGATTGGTAATATTTTTTCAGCCTGAAATATATTAAAAAAAAAATCTGTGATCACAAATGTTTTAAACTATCTAAAGAGAAAATTTGTATATTTGGGGGAAGAAAATAATTTTTACATAGCTTTTGTATGCAGATATTAAAATGTAATTATGAATATAGTGGGCATAGATAACTGTGTAAGCTTGAATTCTAAAAAGAAAAAGCTTATAACTGAAAAATGGTCCTGGTGTCTCCTCCTCTTTGTTGCAGTCTCTTTTTGCCAGTTCTGTCGCACACTTCCCGTCTGCTGGAATGGGAAGAGTAGGACCCACAGCACGATGTTGTGTCAGCTCTAACCTGTTCACGTTTCCAACCCCCTGCGTCCCTCTCACCACCCACCTCATACCTTATCTCCTCTCCTCCCCTCCCTCGGGCACCCAGCCAAAGGTTTTCACTTCCCCACTGTTCACATCAGCCAAACTTAATTCCCTCCGGTGAGCTGGCTCCTGATTTATGTCTCATTCAATTACATTCTGTATGGGAACGGCCTTTCCTTCTTTCTCCATTCCCAGTCTCGACAGGGATGGTGTGACAGGAGCAGTGGGCTTCCCATCTCTTCACACTTCCCCTGCCTCAGTCTCCTATATGTTGGAGAAGGTCTCCTTTTTCCAGCTATTCTCTATATTTTTATATTCCTTTGCAGTTTTGATTTCTCCTCCAAGTTTTTCATACCCCTCGGGAAGAAAAGCAAGAACTAGAGCCTGGATCCAAAATCGCTTCTTGGCCGGTCCCAGACGGGAAACCTCCTTCAGGCTGTTGCTTCACGGTGGTTTCCAGAGGCATTTACTGGGTGCCTGCCAGCCCCTGGTCCTGCTGCCCTTCCACCTGAGGTGCTGGCAGCCTTCAGATGGATGCTGGGCTCCCTGACCCCCCTCTGCCTGGCATCGGTGGGAGCTCCTTCCCCAGGCCAGGCTCGGTGTCCCCGGGGAGCGCTGGGCCGGCACCTCCAGGGTTTGTTCCCACTGTTGCCCATGGGCACAGAGCCCATCTTCAAAGGCAGAAGCTCCGTCTGAAGAGCCTGAGGGTGAGCATGAAATCTGTGCTGTCCCTTAAATGAAACCCCTCTGTGCTGGGTCTGCACTGGGTGAGCAGTGATGTGGGCTGCTCAGGCCCTCCAGGACCAGCTCTGGAGCAGGGAACTGACTTAGTGCCCAACAACTTGTTTACTCGGTGTGAAGAGCTGATCCAGCTCCCACAGACCCCAGTGCATTGGCTCTGGCATTTCCAGGCTTCCTTTGTAGTGGTGAGGTCTGTGCTTTTCAAAAAACAGCACGAGGTCTGTGGAGAGGAGCAGTGTTGTGGCAGCAACGTGTGTTTGGTTCAGCGTATTTCTGTCATTGCAGAGAAGGACACAAAACTTGGTCAGTTCTGTCCCCTGGCACTGGCAGTGCCACCAGGAGCGTGTCTCAGTCAGTTGTGAGCTGCCTCGTGCCTCCTGAGCCTGAGCGCTGGCAGTGCCACCAGGAGTGTGTCTCGGTCTGTTGTGAGCTGCCTCGTGCCTCCTGAGCCTGTTGTTAACAGCAGGGCTGCAGGTTCCCCTTCTCTTAATGACAGTGGATCAGGGTTTTTTCCCCTTTAAAACTGAGCCATGGTGAAGGATTTTCTCAGTGTCAACTTAGGAGTCTAACATTAAACAGCCACGTGTCTTATACTCATGGTCACATGTGCTGTGTGGTCTTCCCAATGGCATCAGTGGCTTCAAAATGAAGCGTGTTCATATTAAGAGTGACTGCAGATACACCGCATTTGAAGTAAGTACAGCAGGGCTGCAGGTTCCCCTTCTCTTAATGACAGTGGATCAGGGTTTTTTCCCCTTTAAAACTGAGCCATGGTGAAGGATTTTCTCAGTGTCAACTTAGGAGTCTAACATTAAACAGCCACGTGTCTTATACTCATGGTCACATGTGCTGTGTGGTCTTCCCAATGGCATCAGTGGCTTCAAAATGAAGCGTGTTCATATTAAGAGTGACTGCAGATACACCGCATTTGAAGTAAGTACAGCATTAGTACAAAAGTCTCTCCACTCTATTTGTCATATCACACTGCTCATTTACAGTTTACCAGGTAGGAAGATTCCTTTCCAGATTGGATCACGGAGTGTCCTTCTCTGCTGTAAGGGGGCCTACAGGAGATGGGGAGGAACCCTATCAGGGAGTGTAGTGATAGGACAAGGGAAGAGATGGGGAGGAACCCTATCAAAAAGTGTAGTGATAGGACAAGGGTTAATGGTTTTAAATTGAAAGAGGAGAGATTTAGATTAGATATTAGGAAGAAATTCTTTATGCTGAGGGTGGTGAGACACTGGAACAGGTTGCCCAGAGAAGCTGTGGCTGCCCCATCCCTGGAAGTGTCCAAGGCCAGGCTGGACAGGGCTTTGAGCAACCTGGTCTGGTGGGAGGTTTCCCTGCCCATGGCAGGGGGTTGGAACTAGATCGTTCCAACTAGATGGAACTTTAAGGTCCCTTCCAATCCAAACCATTCCATGATTCTATGCCTGTGTCTGGGGGGAGCAGTGGCCCTGCAGGTACTAAGTGGCCTTGGTAGACACAAAGAAAGATGTGCCAGAAAACAGATTGCATGATTCTGTGCCTATGTCTGGGGGGAGCAGTGGCCCTGCAGCTACTAACTCAAGTGGCCTTGGTAGGCACAAAGAAAGATGTGCCAGAAAACAGATTGCCATTTGCCAGGGTCAAGGAGCAGATTTCAAGAAGAATTTAAAAATAAAGCCCAAAAACAAGAGAGCCCCTTTGAATCATTTATGAGAACTTCGAGACTTCTGAAGTCAAGGAATACTGAAAGACTTGGGGAATCTCGGAGTCGGAGGTTCCAAAGGGAGAAAAAAAGGCTCCAAGGTCATCCTGACCTTGTGGTGCCTTGGAAAAGCACAAACTTGGAAAAGTAGTACAAGTTCAGTACCCTGCTGTGCAGAACCAGTGTGACCTTCTGCAGGCAAAACAAGACAATCTATAGTGGATTGTGTTTGGAAAACACAGCGTAAAAAAGTAGAAAAGGACATGAGCAAATCAATAGCAAAACCACAAGTGAGTCATTCCACAAATGCCATTGGAATTTGAATTTGCAAGAGGCTGTCCGGGTGGGTATGGGGGTAGCTTTAAGCAGTGTCCCTCTGAACAGAAGTGCTCTAGTTGCAAGAAATAAAAGCAGTTTTGCAAAATAAATAATAAAAAAAAACCACCAGTATTTAAAGGGAAAAAAAGTGTTACATGTAGCTGCAAGGTCTTTGATATCTCCCTGCTCAGAGGTAGGAGCAAAAAGAGAAAGAAGTTGTCTTTGCTGGAAAAACTACAGAGGCAGAAAGCTTCACTGCCTGATGTAATGTTTAAAATGGAAATGAAGGCTTGGGCATACCTGAATGTGTGTATAAAGTTGCAGTAGCAGGAGTTGGCCAGGGCTGAAAGCACGTCCAACGTGAAATCTCAAAGACATATTCTCCAGTGTAAGGAGTGGGGGGCCCAGGAAAATAAAAAGTTAAGAAGTCAAAGACTGAAAAAAACCACAAATACAGCAATATCTGAGGATGAGACAATTCCTGGCAAGTGGATAAAGCACTAAAAAAGTGGAGACTGATGAAAGAAAGAAAAGAAAGAAAGAGGAAACAGCACTATTAGAAGAACACAAAGATCATAATGAAATGCGTGCCCAGGGGTGAGCAATTCGACATGCACAGGGACTTCACATGGTCCAGAAAGTCGTAGGTTGGTTTGCTCATGACAAAAACACGCATGCTGGCTTTAGACTATTATTCTCTCTCTTCTCCAGAACTAGCCTTCTTGGGAACTGGCAGTGTAAGCTAACCTTGCACTTTGGTGCCTACAAAGGGGTAAGAGAGCAGCCGTGACAGCTGCAGGGGATGGGCTTTGCAGCTGTGTCAGCCAGCATGGCTCTGGCCACGTGTTGCACCAGGACCTGCTCAGCCAGTGTGCTCTGAGGACCCGTGGTGTTTAAAATGTAAGGAAGATACAGAAAAAGGCTGAAGGGCCAAATATCATCTCCTGCTTTCACACTACTAAGTTACAGGCTAGCATCCTTCGGGCTGGGGCCCTAACTTGACGAGGAGCTAAGTATGTTGAGTTCCTGTGTAGT